ACATAGAATAGATAGGGGAGTCTCGACAAAATTTGGTTGCGAATTGTTATTTTTTTTACTGTGAGATGAATATTCAAACGATTCACGTGTGAACTACTTAAAATCAAAACTCTACGAATACGTTGTGCTTCCATTCTGAACACTTCAAGTCTGCAGAAAAATTAGTAGCCACTAACAGACACAGTAAACAATAATAACACTACTGTACATGTAAACAATAATAACACTACTGTACATGTAAACAAACCTTTTGTTTGTTCCAGGTATTAGTCTGTGTCTATGAATGTTTACGGAAATAAAGACCTTAATAATGAAGGAAACCCAGTAGGAATGTATTTAACTGAATTATTTACTGGAAAGGCTTTGAACTAACTAATTTTTTAACTAAAAACAATGGTGCTTTTTTCTTCAGGAACCCAGATGAAGGGGAGATAACACTTCTGTGTTGTGACATAGACTCTGTCCACAACCATTCATCCGATAAATCCCTTTCCAATAAAAGTTTCATTTCTCTAAAATCAGGTGTTTTTATGCTTATATTCGTACAGTAGTTCTAACAACTTATGAAAAACTTTACACAATCTTACATGAACTTTTAAACAGAAACATTAAAGGAATCTCTAGATTTTTGTGTATTGTTTTTGCAAATTTGACCAAAAAAGCAGTGCTATTCAAATAATCAACATCAAGTAATTTATCATTTCAGAACAAAAGAGATTGATTGGATGCCCTATTTTACTCAAAGACTAGTTGATGATTTTGGTTCACATATCCGTTTATATAGAAGAGCTGTAGATAAAAAGAAAAAACTTCCACCTGAAGGTAAGCCTGACTACAAAGAGTAATCTTGACTCTAGTATCCTGACTCAGTATCTTAACTCTAGTATCTTAACTCTAGTATCTTGACTCTAGTATCTTAACTCTAGTATCTTAACTCTAGTATCTTAACTCTAGTATCTTAACTCTAGTATCTCTAGTATCTTAACTCTAGTATCTTAACTCTAGTATCTCTAGTATCTTGACTTTAGTATCTTAACTCTAGTATCCTAACTCTAGTATCTCTAGTATCTTGACTTTAGTATCTTAACTCTAGTATCTTAACTCTAGTATCTTGACTTTAGTATCTTAACTCTAGTATCTTAACTCTAGTATCTTGACTCTAGTATCTTAACTCTATTATCTTGACTCTAGTATCTTGACTCTAGTATCTTGACTCTAGTATCTTGACTCTAGTATCTTGACTCTAGTATCTCTAGTATCTTAACTCTATTATCTTGACTCTAGTATCTTAACTCTAGTATCTTGACGCTAGTATCTTGACGCTAGTATCTTGACTCTAGTATCTTAACTCTAGTATCTTAACTCTAGTATCTTGACTCTAGTATCTTAACTCTATTATCTTGACTCTAGTATTAAGCTATATTTTGAGCGGATAATTTCATATTATTTCAATTATTTGATCAGAAGGTCTACTTTCACTTTATCATTATTTGGTAGACCTATCCTATGTGTGTGTTTTACCAATTCAGGTTTTGGAATGTAGGAACTCATTATGTTATGAAATTACATATTGTCTTTAAATTAAATTATAATTAAGTCACATGTGTTATAAAATAGTTTTAATCTTCTAATAACTTGTTCTGTATATCACTTATAAAATGTAAAATTTCATGATGTTATCATCAAAAATGAGCAAGTTATGCGATCGGTTGTATTTCAACGAAAAAGAGAAAAATTTTCATTTGCCACGCCCACTTTTTAAAGACATAACTTTTTTATTTTTCAATATATTTTGTTTCTGTTTTCACTTTTTCCAACTACTAGTGCACCATAACCCATCTACAAAAACAAAATTATTTTATTTTCATTATTTCTATTTTCCGTTTGCATTGTTACTATTAGCTATATAGTATAACTCATGCTCACTCTTCAGGCAACAATTCTTTATGGATTCTTATAATTTTTATATGCCCACACGTACTATGGAAGCATAATTGGTACAATTGGTTCATGCTCACTGTACAGGCTACAAACAATGATTTGTACTTGCAATCAAAGCTGCTGGTGGTGTATGTCACCCCGCTTTGCAAGGCTATCTTTGATTGTGAAATAAAACTTTAAACATGTCTAACAAGTGGTTGCCTAGCAACATACGCTCACTTCCCTGATAAATTTTCAGTATATCAAGGGCGGTCACCAATCTGTGTCAAATCATACCAAAAACCTAATTTTTACAAGATATTGTTGATTTAATCAAACTCACAAAATTTCATAAAATTTGGATATAAACTGCAAACAAATAAACCGAAAAATCATCAAATTCAAACTTGACCAAGATCTCATTGTAATAAATGATCACACCAGATTTCATTCAAATCAGATGAAAACTGTAATTACTATTGTGTTCACAAACAAATTTTGATGCATTTTTACTGAGTCAAGGGCAATAACTCATTCATTGAAAAATTTTCAAATTCTAACTTGACGAAGATCTCATCATAATAAATGATCACACCATTTATTTTTTTCTATAGCAGATTATTTTTGTGAATGTTTACACATTATAATGCGGTTGTATAAAAAAAAGAAGCGAGTGAGACAGTCATGTACAGATTCTGGAGGTATCATGTGTAAACATACGCCAAAATGAAACTTCTATTTGCCAAATTGTATGACTGTGTTCTTGGACAAAGGTTTGATCATCTGGATGGCTTGACGTTGAAAATGAAAATTTTTAGCTGCATGTTTCATCTTCCAAAAAAAGGTTGGCAATATTTAAATCAGTTATCAGTCTTTAACAAATCAGCGGTCATATACACATCATGTGACTGCCTCCCCATGTGCATTTAATTTTAAAATTAGCAGCAGACACCTCAAGTGTGAACAGTGAACACGTTTTTTTTTCCATTCACTCATTCACTGTATTATCCCCATGGGCTGAATGTTAGACAGGACCATGTCCTTGTGTATTGGGCCTAATTCTGACCTATGTAAAATAAAGAGTTAATTTTTATTCGATCAGAACTGATAGAAAGTATAGTATATTCTATATATAAGATCTGAGATCACAGGAGTTTATATCACAAGAGCTTATTTTTTAAATAAAGAAATTAGTTTTATTTGTGGCTTGTGTTTACACATGATTCTAAGTAGCAGAATCGGAATCTAGATCGATTACCAATAAAAAAACAAAATAAGACAGACATACGAGGCAGACAATAAATACATGCATTTAAAGCATGCAAGTACCAATTCAGAAAACTCGTAAGAAAATGTATGTTGTCTATAATTTTAAGCAAGGAAAGAGGCGAGGAGAAAGCTGGGACATTTTTCAGCGCTTTCATACCCTTTTCCTTGTCTTTTTACCCTCTCTCTCTTGTTCCTCGCTTTGTCACCTTTCTACTTCTTGCTGGTGATTTTTAGCAATAGTCCTGTTTTGTAGTCATTTGTACTACTTATTAGTTAAATATTAGTGTGAATAATAATTTAATTTAATCTGATTATGTTTTTATAGAAAGAGAATGCTGTGATATAGAAGAATTGTTTTTTGATTTAGAAGTTGAGATGGAAGAGAGTATGTGCCGTGATTTAATTTGTTTGGATCCTGATAAAGAAAGAGGTGAGAAAAGTTAGATTATGATACACACATTGTGATTGGGACATATATTGTCTTTGTCCAGGAAGTTCAAGTTCTGGCTTGACAGATTGTTTGTATGTTCTTCAAATTTTTTCAAAATATTCCACCTTGTAACAATAATGTTAATTAAGGAAAGGAAAGATTTC